GGGGGGGGTACCTGCCATAGAGGCAGGCTGCAAGTGGGGGATGGGATGGAGGATGATGGGAGGGGAAACTGGAGACACTAATGCTAGGAAATTAGGAAATGTACACTGGTGGAAGGATGGGTGTTGGACTGTATGACTAAAACCTAATAATGAACAGCTCTGTAAGGGTCTATTTCACTTTGATTCAATAACCAAGTCTTAAAAGAGAGAGAGGGAGGGTGAGAGAGAGAGAGAGCATTTTTCATGAAATGTTTTTACAGCAAAATTTCCCGTTGAAATCGCAGTGCTGTATTTATGGTCTCTGGATGCAGTAAGACATTGGAAAATAAAGAACTGGGGGTCTGGGAGATAGGGCAGTGGACCCATGTGTATCACCACAGGGTCCCTTGAGCTCTGCTGAATGTGGCCCTGGTGGTGTCTGTGCCAAGTTGAGCCAAGCAGTGCCGGGCAGGGCAGATATGTCCTCCCCAGGCCAGTTGGCAGGATCCTTGTACCACCAACCCCCTAAAAAATGCAGAACTAATTTTAAATTTCACATTTCAGAAGTATTCCTTTTTAAATGATACAATGATGTTTCTATAACTTTCCATTAATTTATTTCTGCAAGTTTTTAATTGAGGAAATAATCTTTTTTAAAGTGTTTGAGGTTCTTTGGCTTCTAGAAACACTCCAGTGTCCATCCATTCACTTGCTCATACATAATGAACCATTCTTATAATCTATTAATCTTTTCCCCTCTATCTGTATACTCTGCAAGTCACAACGCATTTCAAGAATTTTTATGTGCATTCATTTCAATATTAATTTTTTAAAGTGGTTTTAGGGTCCAAAGAGACAGCTATAGAGGTATGAATGTTTGCCTTGCATGTGACCAAGTCTGATTCAATCCCCGCATTCGATCCTCCAAACCTCAGTGGGAACACCACCAGGTAACCCCTGAACACTGCTGAGTGTGACTTCAATGTACTCGACCCAGTCGTTCAACCTTGTTCTTTATCATGGAGGTCACACCTGGTGGTGCTGGGGCGAGGCCACATGGTACTGGGTACTGAATCCAGGGTCTCAAGCATGGAAGGCGTGTGCTCTACCATTTGAACCTCATCTCCTACCCCTAAACACATACAGCTTTAAAGCAAACACTTCATCACCAGTGCAAAGAGCTAAGAAGTGAATTTAATGAAAAAAATTGTTAGTGATTCCAGCTACATATGATGAAAGACTGAGAGCCTGAGGTGTGCTTGCTCAGTGGGGAAACAAAAAAAATCATCTCATATGTGAGGCCTGGCCTGGGTTCCATCCTTGGTCCTAAGAGAGAGAGAGAGAGAGAGAGTGACAGAGAGAGACAGCGAGACAGAGATGGACAAAGAGAGAGACAGAGAGGCAGAGAGATAGAGACAGAGAGACAGAGAGAGAGAGACAGACAGACAGACAGACAAAAATTCATCTTCCGAGGCAAAAGATGAGCTGTATTTGATTAGTGCTTGCCATGCCAGGTCCTGTCATAAGCATTTTACATGCAGTAATTCATACCATTCTCCTAACAGCAGTATGAGATATTGATTCCTCATGGTATGTAAAGAAACTGAGGTACAAAGTGACCGGATGGAGTTGCCAGGAGTCACAGAGGTGGAGCTGAGCTTGGAGCTGGTCCCCATGGGCCCTGCCTCCTCTTGGCACCAAAGACCCCTCCAGGGAGAAGTGACTTCATCAGATTATGGGTCCACCCCCTCCCACAACCTGGCAGGCTGGAGAAGGGGCATCTAGAGGGTGATTAGGCCACCCCAGAAATGCTCCCCATCCCTTTCGTCCCCTGGACAGTCACTCTTTGTATCTCAAAAGTTCTTAGGGTCCCTCAACAAAATCTCTTTTAGGCTTGAATTATCATAATATTTCTTAAATTGGCAAAAAAACACCCAAACTTGGCACCCTTTGAAAGAGTTTTACCTGTATTAGTGTGTTGGGGGATCCCTGTTTCAGGTAGAATCTGAGAACACTGACTGCATTTAGTGGGGCAGGTGGTGGATCCCACCTGGCTGTGCTTGGGGATCACTTACGATTGTGCTCAAAGGGTCCCTCCTGGATGGTGTCAGGGATGGAACCCAGGTTTGCCATGTACTAAGTAAGTGCCTATGCCCCTGGCCGGTCTCTCAGCCCTCTAGTCTGTGTTTGAACTAAATTCCTTTCAAAGATGAAATCTAAACAAAGATAGGAGATATTTCTTACTTGAGCCTAAAGCTTCAGATCCTTTCTGATACCAGCTGGTCTTTGTCATGCTTGTCAAACCCAGTCACTTCAAAGAGTTCCGTCATCAACCCCTTCCAAGAACCCCATATCCCCTCCCTACCCAGGAGGCCAGGCACCAGCATCTCACCAGATAAGTCCTTCCTGATTCCGGGGTCCCCTGGGTGATGGAAGGGCCCCAGGGCCAGGGAAATCCTGGGCTTCTGAGCTGAGCATGTGAGTGGCCACCCTGAGACCGGGCACTGTGTAACCCACCAACCTGACTGTCCCCCACCACGCTGACAAGGATGTGGAGGCAGAGCTTGGGAGGGAATGAAACCTCACTCAGTAACACCCTGCTCTGTCGACGACCACAGCTTGGCTGTGGCTTGCTCAGCATGTTATAAAAACTGCAGCACTTTCTTGGTAAGGAACTCTGCCCATGGGGTGACTTGGTTTCTCGAGACACCACATCCTGCATCCTGCCTTACCTGGCCCTGCGCTGAGGGAGCTCCCACGGGTGCCTCTTCTGAAGTACCCTCGTAGCCTGTGGTGTGGCCGCTGCCGTTCGAGATGTTTGTTCCAGTCACCTGCTGTTCCTGCCCACCAACTCAACAGTCTTACTGTGCTTGGATTAAGGGTATTTTTTTGGAGGGGGAGGGGGAGCACATCCAGGAGTGCTCAGGGCTTACTCCTGGTTCTACACTGACGGGTCGCTCCTTGCAGGCTCTAGGAACCATATACCCAGATCAGCCAGATGCAAGGCAGGTGCCCTAACCATTGTACTATCCCTTCCTGGGGGTCTCTTCTTTCCCCCAATACTTGGGGTGCGAGGAACATGACTTGTATTTTCTATCCTCCCTGAAGAGTTGTAATTTCTGCACAAAACAATCATGTTCTTTTTATCTCGTAGTGATCCTTAAACAATAATAATAGTAATATTATTATTATTATTTTGGCTTTTTGGGTCACACCCAGCAATGCTCAGGGGTTACTCCTGGTCCTGCACTCGGAAATCACTCCTGGAGCTTCTTGGGGACCATATGGGATGCTGGGGACTGAACCCAGGTGAGCTGCATGCAAGGTAACTGTCCTCCCTGTCACTCCAACCCCCAGAGTGATCCTTTTAAGATGCCAGGATTGAAGGCTGAGATCTGGCATTGCTTTCAGCGCTTTCAGTGTAGGATATGAATCACAGACAGTTCCCCCCTCTGGACTTCTGATAGTCTGACTGAGGACTTTTCAGCCATCTGGACACCCACCCCCACCTCCAGGGAAGATGGGCAGTGGCACAAGCCCAAGGTTCCAGTCAGTGTGTTCCAGCTACTCTAGTTTTCATTTACAATGGGCTTAGCAGGAAGGGGATTCCTTCATGAATGGAGGAAGCTCTGTTTTTACATGTGGTTAGCAAGAACTCCTGCCAAGAGCCTTTGTCAGGGGTTGGGGAGATGGTGACTTCAAACCTAACATAAAATTCGTTTTTTACTTAGAAGTACAGCAGTTACGGGGCGGGGGGGAGGGGGAGTTCTGTTTTCAGAAACAGAGATGCTATTCACTTGTCTCAGTTTGTTTTGGGGCCTGCAATGTTTAGGGGTTGCTCCTGTCTCTGTACTCCGGAATTACTCCTAGCAGTTCTGGGGGACCATATTGGGGTGCAGGGGATCTACCCCGGGTTGACCATGTGCAAGGCAAACGCCTTCCTCACTCTACTATCGCTTTGGCCCCCCCAGAGATGCTATTCAAGAGTGGAGCTCCCAGCTGCAGGATTTTAAACTGGGGCACTCCAGCTTTCCACCTGGGGACTCATCCCCAAACAGAGCTGCCACCTTTCACCTTCCATTGCTCAAAAGTGACTGAAGAACTGAAAAGGTAAACTGGTGATTTTAAAGGCAGGAGTGGGCAGCTCTGGCCAGAGAAAGCCTGTGAAATCATGGATGGTCCAGGATGGAACAGACATATGCTCCCTATGGGCCACATGTGGTCAGCCACTGTCTACCTCTATTGTGTGGTCTATAAATGATGTTATCGATCACAATCACAATCATCCTGTTGTTCGTCGATTGCCTCGAGCAGGCATCAGTAACGTCTCCTTCATCCTAGCCCTGAGATTCAGAAAAGTGCCACATTCAAGGCACTTTCAGGGTTAGGAGAATGAGACCCATGTTACTGGTATTTGGCATATTGGGTACGCCATGGGGAGTTTGCCAGACTCTGCCGTGTGGGCAGGTTACATTCGGTAGCCTGCCAGCTTGTCGAAAGCAAGAACAAGATAATAAGATGTCGTGTGGCCGCATTTGCAGCCGCATTCTTCCGGGAGCTGGGTTTTATAGTCTCTGGGTCTTGGCTGTTGATGGGATTACATAGCGCTGGGGGGCAGTTGGTGCGTGTGACCCCTGCCTACTGGAAGATGGAGGATCTGGGTGGAGGATGTTCAGCCCCGATCCAAGCAGGCTTGGAGATCTCAGTCCTGGGACCCGCATGCCTTTGTTCCTCTGTCGGTACCTTCATGCGTGTGGAGAGTGGTCTAAGCATGGTCATGGCTGGTTCTGGAGGTCTTCGGCTGCCGGGGCTCTGGTCAGGGCGGGGAGGGAAACTCAACCCGCCCCACTCCAAGGGGCCTCAGCGAGGACAGCCAGGTGCGGGGGCAGGAGACTCTTTGGAGTTTGGATGTTATCAATCTCCAAATTTAAAGGAGGATACATGGCCCGTTTTAACTGCTAAAATTTCAACAACAGAAATAACAACAAAACAAAACAGAAATAACCAAACTCAAGGCATACAGCTGCTTAACACTTCTTTGTATTTTTATTCAATTTTTGAATTTCCTTTAAAAAAAATTCTGCCTGGTTCTGACAGTTAAATGGGAAACCACAATTACAATTCACAAACAGTGGCATGGAAAATAACACATACCCCATCAGGATGCACACCAAACCCTTTCCTTTTTATTCATTCAAGAGTCCAAGACACCATGTCAAATATGAGCACTGTCATTTTTTTTTTCATAGAAGGGGAAAAACGTTCATTCTGGCTGCACTTGGACCATTCCGGAAGTGGTTTTGATAAGCTGCAAGTATAGAAACCATAACAAACTTGGAGGGCATTTGTTTGTGAGGCAAGGGACTATTTGATTGGAAAAGACTCCTTTTGTGCTTAGTGAATCGCTTGCTAGCCTCAGCGGGCTGTGTCTTCTCGGGTATTCAAAGAGAAAAATGGCATTTCCTGCATCCAGGGCAGAATTCCTCCAGAGCAGGGTGCTTTCTGCGTCTCCAATGCACCCCCCCTCCTCCCACAGGAAGCAAATTCTGAGGCTTTTCTGGAGCTTGCTGGGTCCCAGAACCCTCTGCTTCAACAACCTTTCTGCTAAAGCATGTGCCACACCACCAGTTCTTCTGCTGCTTCTCTCGGGTTCAGATGACAGCACAAAATGTCACTTGTCAAAACAAAAGAGTAGATATCAAGAACATGGGCATGTCTATCCATAGTAAGGGCAAAGTTCTGCAGGCATTTCACCCCAAAGAGCATTTTTGCTCTCATTGAATAGGGTCCCCTATGCCTGAAGTGATACTTGGCCGGGCTGGGTCTTTACAAATGATGGGGCCAAGTCAGTGGAGAGTTTAGGAACTGTTTTATGCCAATTGAAACACATTTATGCCCAACAATTCAGTGGTCCATAACGTAATCAAATGTTACCATTCTATTTATACGTACACACACGCATGCACACGCACGCACACCCATGAGAACTGTGACAAAAGGGACCAGATTCTATCCTGTGAACGTGCTCTTAAGGAAATGAAATCTCGAAGTTGAGGTGCCATAGCCAAGTACCCCAAAAGGCAAAACTCATCTCTTCCCTTGTGAATTTAGGAGAAGAGAAATGAAACTTGTTTCAGTGGAGGTTCTGGGGGGCCTGGTGAGGGGATTTCCAGGGCACACTCTCCCCAAAACTCTCTGTGAGTTTTTGCAATAAGCTGGTTGGATCTTTCTTTTATTGGAGGGGGGTGGGTGGTTGTTAGGGGAATCACATCCAGCAGTACTCAGAGCTTACTCCTGGCTCTGTGCTCAGGGATCACTTCTGGAAAAGCTCAGGGGAACCCTATGCGGTGCCAGAGACTGAACTGGAATCTGCCGAGTACAAGGCAAGTGCCCAAACCTCCATGACTATCTCTCCAAACCCTCCTGGTTGGCCTTTTCTTACGGAACAGGTTGCAACTCTGTCCCTGTGGCATTGCAAGAGTTAATACTTTGCAAGAGACGAATGAGAATAACACCAGCTGACTCAAAGTCCTTGTTACATGGGTGGGGAACAGCTTTAGACATTTTCCATCCATGCTCATGGAGAAGGCAGGTGTAAACAGGGCCTGCCACTCTCTGGAGAATGTGTTACTACTGCAGCACGTACTGCTGTTTGGCCCCAATTAAGAGGAGACCGGAGAGGTTTCACTTCACGGAGAAGCTAAAGCCGGGGCTTGACTGGCGTTGGCAGGGGACAGCCCCATCGGAGGGTTGGCATTATAAATGACCCGTGCTCTCCAAGGAGGCTACTCGATCCCTTAGCTTCTGACGGGCCGGTGTACGGAGCCTTCAAAGTGCTTTGCTGTATTTCACGGGCATTTCTGGGCAAAGTAAAAGGCCTTTCTGGTGGATCCTGGGCACCTCGGCCTGACCCTGCATGTTCTCAGCTACCGAGACTTGATTGCTTCAAGGATTCAAGTCCTCACTGTGCCCCTCCTGGGGAGAATCCCAGCTCAGGCTCTGCACCCGTGTGTCCCCCTGACACCCCACAGTCTGTGTAATGCTGGAGGCAGAACATTATGGCCAGCAGTGGCCATCTGTGTCCTGCCCTGCCCCTGACCCCCAATCTCGCAGGTAGGGACTGGTATCCACAAGCAGGGGGACGGTGCCCAAAATGCAGGTTTGCTTTGGCTTGGGGGCCACACCTAGTGGTATTCAGGGCTTACTCCTGGTTCTGTGCTCAGAGATCAAACTAGCAGAGCCTGAGGGACCGGATGTGGTGCTGCAGCCAGCCACAAGCCAGGCAAGTGCCTTCAGCACTGAACTAGAGAGCAAGTTAATTTTTATTAGCAACCTCTGAACCAACACTTAATCCACTGGCTGAGAGCGCACTGGAAGGAGAGCCTTTTTTGTTTTTGTTTTCATCTGAAAAGAATCAAAGAAGAAAGAACCAACAGGTCTTCTGCTAAAACAAGAAATCGGCCCCACCTTGGCACAGTTCTCATGCAGAATATTGCACCCAGTGTTCACTAATGCTAGAAGCTTCCAACGGTATAAATTTAAATGTATTTGCATATTATAAAAATAAAGATAAACATATACATATTTTACACTCATGACGGAACAGCGATGGACGGTCAGTCAATCCCTCTTTCACATTGAACAGAACTGAAATCTGAGTGCTCAGTACTGCCGCCTGGACTGGAGCTATGGCTATATGTGCACAGAAAACAAAATCCCTGAGAAGCCGTTCGACTTGTGTTTTTCTTGTCTTCAAGTAGCGCTCTCCTTGGAGGATCACAGTTCTGAGGTTCAGGTTGTGAAACATTTGCTCCATCTTCTTGCCCCAAGTCCTGCCTGCCCGCCTCATTCCCCACCCCCCAGCCCGCTCTGTGCTCCCTCCACGAACAGCACTGAAAAAATGAATGCTTCTTCCCTCTGGGTCCCTGCCAGCTGCAGATCATGCTGGGGCGTGTGGAGGGGGCAGTGCCACGCAGAGCGGTTCAGGTGGCTCTCTCTTCTCCGTGGAGATGGCCCTGTGCGCCAGTCACTGGTTCCTGTGCTTTTCACCCACGTTCTTCCTAGAGGGCAGAGAGAAAAAAGACACAGACATGACAAAGGTCACCAGGGAAGGGGAGTCTCCAAGATTGAGAGGGGCAACAGTAACCACTCAAGGTTTTTGCTCACAGGTTTTCATTTCTACCTCTAGAACTCCTAAAGGGGCCGGTGGATATCACTAACGTTTCTTGCAAAGGAAAGAATCTTCGCCAGACTTGAAGAGCGGACTCAGGCTAGTGAGTTCTATCTCCCTGGTCCTGCTGTTATCTCATGGATTAACTCCACTTCTAAGTAAGAAACCCAAACTCATTTGCTTGTTTGTTCTTGAGTCACACCTGGCTGTGTTCGGGGCTTACTCCTGGCTCAGTGCTCTCAGCACAGCCGTTAGAAGCTGCACACAGATACACATAATGCCAGGGTTTCTCAGCCTGTCCCTAAGGTGCCTGCTTCTTTCGTGTGTCCGCCACACCATGTCCCACCAGTGGTACCAAGACCCCCTACTTATGTGCTTTTCCACCTGTGGCCCCGTTGGCACATCCTTGGGGCCCCCTTGAGGCCGGCTGGGAAACACTGCATTAAGCAACTGAATTGGAGTTTTATTATTTTTATGTACATTTTATTATCTTTATAACTTACTTAGAACATTATATAGCTGATCCAAATTATTAGATAGGTATTTCTTGTCAGTTTCTTTTATGCAACTGACTTAAAGTGTATGCTAGGAGGGGCAGGCAGGTCTCTGGGTTAGAAACATGCTAACTTCTGGCACTGGATGGAGGAAAATAAGGAACCATTGCATCTTAAGCTACTTAAACCAAGTGATAAAGATCAACTCAGACAAAATAGAGCAGAGAAATAAAAAGTATACTCCAGCCCTTATTTCAACTTTCTGATAATACTATACCCTGTGCTGATTTTCAAGTTGTTTTAGCATTTATGTATTAAAGACATGGGGCCAGGGACGGGGCCTGGCAGGAGGGCATGTGCTTCACACCTGTAAGGCCCCAGGTTGGATCCCATGATGAGAAAAAGAAAAGAAAACAATACAAGGGTGAACTGGTCTAGTAAAGTCCCCTAAAAATATGTCTGACTTAAGTCCCCATTCCAAAGGCCTGGCAGGCTGAGACAGGGCATAAGAAGATAATCAGTTTTCCCAGGAGGTTCCAGAAGCCCCACCTTTGCTCCACCCTGCCCATGGCTCCCAGAACATGCCGAGGCACCCCTGCCTTATCAGCTTGCCAGCGAGACACATTCTATGCTCCTGCCACCCACATCCCTAGAATTGGCCTTACTGCTCCCTTCCTAGGAGTAGTTTTATTATTTTATGTACATTTTATTATCTTTATAACTTACTTAGAACATTATATAGCTGATCCAAATTATTAGATAGGTATTTCTTGTCATTTTTTTATGCAACTGACTTAAAATATTTTATGTATAAGTTATTTTCGCTCCTGAATTGGGTACATATCTCCTGCTTGTTCCCTCTCAGGACTAAACAATCTATAGGAAGCAGAAGTTTCCCTTTCACTGAAAGCATGCAAAAAATATGCTACAGAATGTATTCCCTTAGAATGCCAGACAGACCTCCCTCCTTGGAGGCCTTCAATCTCTGTCCCTACAGTCCTTTCAATAAACTTGCTTGCTCTAGCTTAAAACTGTCCGACCCTTGTCAATTCTTACATAACACCACAGCTCAGACACAGAGGGGCCTGGGTTTGAACATTTTCTCCTAACTCTTCATAAGGAATTGTTATCTCCTTCCTTCCTTCCTTCCTTCCTTCCTTCCTTCCTTCCTTCCTCCCTCCCTCCCACCCTTCATTCCTTCCTTCTTTCCATTTATTTTTGCAGTGCTCAGGGCTTACTCCTGGTGGGCTTAAGGAACCATATGAGATGGCAGAGACTGAACTCAGGTTGGCCATGTGAATCAGACACCTGACCTGCTGTACTATCGTTCCTACTCCTAGGAGTCCTGACTTTCTACCTGACCTCCAGCCTTCCCATTTCTAAGGCTACTTGATTTTACACAAAAGGGCAGCTTAGATTCCACCTATGACATTTCTCCAAATTCGTACACACAAGAACTACTGGTGTATCCTATCAAGAACGACTCGGTCAAGAAGATGCACGTTCTACTTCCTAGCTGCCAACTTTCTACTAGCAGAATGACACCTCTCCTAAGATATCAGTGGATTAATCCTACCTGAGCATTTGACCAAGAAGGAATCAAAGATTCCAAGAAAATGATTTCCCTGAGGGCATTCTAATGCATGGAGCCAGCCTCGCTGGAAACAGGGTCACCAGACTCTGAGGAAGGCTTACTGGAGAAAAACGAGGTTGGAATATTTCAGGTGGAGGTCGGTGTCACATTTACATGGCACTTAGCCAGGACACTTTTCTGAAGGCCCAGTCACACAGGAAACATCTTAGGAAGTGAGTTCCAATTCACAGGCTCTCCAACTCAACCTGACTGCAATGCAGGGCGGCCCGAGACACGTGGCAGGTCAGTGTGTGGTCAGGGGGTGACGCTGGAATTGGTGTCGCCGCAGCTCACTGATGCCACCATCCCTGGGAAATGCATGCAGGTGGGCACTTTTGTTTGTTTCCAGGTCACACTTTTATTTGATGCCGGCAGTAGCCACTCAGCTACGAGGGCATGCAGCAGAGGGGAGGGGAGAAAGGTACTAGTGCCTTTTCCTCAGTCCCATGATCAAGGAGGAATATAAAAATGACCTCCCCAAGGGTCATGCATGCTGCGTCCTCCCGAGGAATCCCCCTGGGAGTTCTGACAGTCTCTGAAAACCTTCACGTGGCCAAGGAAGTCGGGGCTCGAGAGGGGAGTGGCCTGTTCTCTCACTCCCCCGTGGGTTCCCAGGACACGGGGAAGGCTGAGATACACATCACCTCCTCCTGGCACTCGGGGGCAAGCTTCCTCTGTCAGGGTGAGAGACGCTCACCAGATTATACTGTGAGGGGCTGGAGTGATAGCACAGTGGGTAGGGTGTTTGCATTGCATGCGGCCGACCCGGGTTCCATTCCCAACATCCCATATAGTACCCTGAGCACTGCCTGAGTGCATGAGCCAGGAGTAACCCCTGTGCATTGCCAGGTGTGACCCAAAAAGCAATGTAGCACTGTCTTCCTGTTGTTCGTTGATTTGCTTGAGCAGTCCCAGTAATGTTTCCATTGTGAGACTTGTTGTTACTGTGTTTGGCATATCGAATACATCACTGGTAGGTTGCCAGACTTTGTCACGCAGGCGAGATTCTCTCGGTAGCTTGCTGGGCTCTCTGAGAGGGGCGGACGAATCATACCAGGGTTGGTTGGGCCGGCCCCAAGCAAGGCAAATGCCCTACTGCTGTGCTTTCGCTCCAAAAAGCAAAAAACAAAAAAACAAAAAAGAAAAAGAAAAACTACTTTTATTCCAACAAGGTCCACAGCCATTCAGTACATGTGAAATTAGTCAATTAGCAAAAGAATCATGCCGTTTCCTTATTTTATTTGTTGTTTGTTTGGGTGCTGAGGGATCACTCTTGGTGGAATTGGGAAGAGAACCAGGGTCAGCCACAGGCAAGGAAGCTCCCTACCCACTCTACTTTCTCTTTGGCTCCAATTCCGCTATTCTTAATCCCCAAGTGTGTCTTGATTTCTGGATAAGAAAAAAACACTCATAATCTTTCTCTATTCAGCTCTTCAGAGTGGCTTCTCTAACCCTGCCCGCACCCCTCTTCCTTTCTCTCCCATCCTCCAGAGCACCCTAACTATGAGAAGAACTCTCCTCCTTCCCAGAGACTTACCCTTAAAACTTGGTGCTCCTAAAGTCACAGACTGAGTACAGTAAAAATGATGGCATTAGGGAAAGAAGCACTATCTTTTCCACTTAATTTTCCAAGAAAGTATGGAGAGACCTAAGCAGAGAGGGAACAAATTCCAGTGTCAATGTGGCTGATGGGAGACTGGGTCATCAAAGAAACACTCTTCCTCCCAGCCTTTTGGGGGGGGGGGGCGCGGGGAGAGCAGGGGGGCAGGAGGGGGATAGTGAGTCATCCTTACAAAGAACCAATCAGTGCTCTTAAAGGCTCCATCCCCCAGGCGAGCTCCATGCTGAGCCTCCACACCCCAAACTATGCCCCCTCACGCCCCCATCTCCCACCCCCCCCACACACATCTATACTAATCTGAGAGGAGTGAAACAAATTCAGAATGGCCTGAATAGCTTCAGTCATCACAATGTCACTGCCAAGATTCCTAGGTAAGAGAATCACTAGACTTTTGAGAAGACAGTCAAGCACAAAGTCACTGAAAATTCCCTGGGATCTGGCTTGAATGGGAAGACTAAAGAATCAAGGTGATATTCCAAGTCTGAAAGGCGATTTTGAATCCCAGGGTCTCAGCATGGCCTTTTACTGGTTGTTGCGGTTTCTGGAAATGGAGAGCGTGGTCCACCACTGAGCACGACCGCCCTATTTTCTAATCATCTATCACATGAGCTGTTAGAATTAACTTCCTTTTTCAGTCCCACATGGATGTGAGAAATGGCAACTGTCAGGAGATAAACATGATCTATTCCCATTTCCTGTTGTTCCCGGGTCAGTCCATTATAAAAACCACAGGGAAAAATGTGGGTTGCATTCCAGGTTGTACAGAACACATTTTTATATGCTAACATGTTGAGATCTCTCTTTTGGGGGAAAATCAGTAAATACATTAGATTATCTGGCAGCTGGCCAGAGTATATACTTTAGTTAGCAGGGAAGGAAGTGGTCTAAACCAATTTGGAAACAAGAAGAAATGTTTTCCAGGACACTGACAAAATAAAATGGCTATTTGCCCAAAGATATTCACACTTTCCTTTTGATTTAGAATATTTAAGAATTTCTACCTGCCGGGCAACAGGATGAATCAGAAATCCACAGATTTTTAAGTACATTTTTTTTTTTTTGCTTTTTGGGTCATACTCGGTGATGCACAGGGGTTACACCTGGCTCATGCACCCAGGAATTACTCCTGGTGGTGCTCAGGG